AAATTTTTTTTCTTTTTCTCCCACCTGCATGTAATTCCCCTATATGAATAAAATATAATTCCCCCCCCCCCCAAAAAAAATCCCTTTGCAATTTAAAGATCCATTCATCATGCTTAATTTTACTTGAGAATCCCTCTTAACAATAAGAATTCAATAATTGGACTCAATTAGTTTAAGTGTGTCCTTAATATATTATATGCATGAATGTGTCACCATTACTCACGCCGTGTTAAACTAATAGATTTATTATTAATAACCAATGATGCAAACTAGATGGGGGTATTAGGGTCCATTAATTATTGTCAAAAAATATATAATATATTTGTTTCTATTGTGAGGATGTAAAAGGGGAGGAGATAGGTGGCTTCTAAGGATACCATATGTTTCTCTGACAATCATATCCCAAACCCTGACTTCTCCCATTTTGTGGTCTCACTTGCACACCTTGTGTTCCAGGTTTTGGTTCCCAGTTTTTATTCCCTAACATTTTAATTTTTTTTTTATGTGACTAATTATGAGTAGTCTAAAATCAAAACGTAGTGATTTGAAATTTTCAAATAATTACTGTGTGTGTGGGTGATTTTCCGACCACACTGCCCGCTTAGTAACCAGCTGGAGAGCACTGGCCGAATAGATGGCACCTGACTGACCTGCAACAGAAATATAAGAATCCCGCGGTAGTTTCGACCACCCGGGGGCACTCCGACGATCAAGTCATTATATCTCTCAAAGATAAATCAAGTACTAAACTCACAAGCTTGAGTATCAAAAGCATACCTTAGACCCATGGGGGTGCCTCTCTTTTATAGCCAATACAATCCTAGTCCCAAAAGGAGCCTGGCCCTAATGGACTTAGGATTACTGCTAATCTGGGACTCCCAGTGGGATTAGGATAAACTCTCTAAGAGTCTTATCTTTACCCAAACTGAAGTCTTCTCCCAATCTAGGACTCTTGTCCATATCCAAGTTGAGTTCCCTCTTCATTCTAGGACTCTTGTCCTTTATCCGCTTATCTCGGAATTCGATATCTTCGGAGACAACCTCGGCCTAGCCGAGATAACGTTAAGCATCATCTCGGCTTAACTTCGGTTAAACATCATTTCAGTTTAACTTCGGTTAAGCATCACCTCAGTTTTTGAAGTTTTTCCTTTTTTGTCGCTTGTACTCTTGTACCTTCTTGTTTTTTTAGACAATGTAAGCTCTGCATATGGCCGATGTGCCTCCTTGTTCTCGAATGTCTAATGGATGGAACCTACACTGTTCGTTCATCTGTGCCCCTCTGTCCGAGATCAAACTTGCCGACCTCAAAGTTCCTTGGACTTTACTATCCACTGGTGTCAAGAATCACGTTTCATGCTTTCCAAGCTGCTTGAAATCGCACCTCCTAGTCGAGGTTCTGGTTCCATTAATTCGTAAATTCCAAGAGCTTTGCAACTGCTCCACTCACACTCTCTGGTGAGTTCCCGATTTCCAGTCATCTATTTGACGCCGGCGATTTTCATATCGGCGTTCATTTGGTAGGTTTATAAATTCTTACTTTTTATTAAGCTCAATCTTTCAAAACTCTTCTGATTTACTTTGAATCTGTTTATTTGCCATCTGTGGCCTTCTGTTCTCGTCTGTCTTCAAGTTTTTGATTTCTTATTGCTAAAATGCCTGGAACTGTTCTTTGTCATATCCGCTTTCTGTTGCTAGCATCATGTCTGGTTCATTACTTTCTTGTTCTTCACATACTTACTTAGTGCTTGTGTACTTGGCTTTATTCTTTGAACTTTGTCATCTTCTTGACTTCTGTTTTTTCTCTTCTTGTTTTTCTTGTTGTATTTCCAGATTCTTGCCTTGGTTTCTGTTTTTCGCATAGTCTTAGAACCACGTCCCTTCTTGAAATTGTTGCCGAGATAGTGGTAGAGAAGCTCTTCCAGCTGATTGCCAATGCTGAACCACCGTTAACCGTTTGAAGTAGATTAGTCCGACGTTCTTGCCTTAGTCCCTAGTTCTTAGGGTCTTCATCTTTGTACTTTTGTTTTCTTTGCATATGTCACCTTTTTTGCTTCTGAAAAATGTCTGTTGTTGGCCGATGTTAACATCCCTTGCTCCTTGATTATCATTCATTTTTCCACTGTATTTGATAGCCATGTCGGGTAATTGACTCCTTGGATTTCCCTGAGCTCCAGAAGTCTGTCTACTTCTTCCTCTACTGATTCGGCGTGCATCAACGTTGGCCCTCTTGCTCGTTGGATTACAGGTTTGGCCGACCTGTCGACGTTCAATTTGTGGCATGTGACCTCAGGGTCAATGCCAGGCATTTCATAAGGTGTCCAAGCAAATACCTCAATGTTTGCTCTCAAACAAGCTTCCAATTCTCTTTCTTCTTCTTTGGCTAAGCTTGAGAAGAAAGAAGCGTTCTTCATCCCCTTCCTGGACGAGGATTTTATTCAGTGCCTCTTCACTCTTCTCGGCTGGCTCCTTGTCAACATCATCTAGGACCTCTATGTCCTCGTTTTCAATCTCTGCCTTCTCTGGTTCTCGAATGCTGCAGGTGGATTTCATTGCTGCCATGGAGCAATTCTCTGCCTGCAGTTTATCCCCTCTAACTTCTTCAATCCCATGTTCTGTTGGGAACCGCAGTAGTTGATACAATGTTGAGGGAACTGCCCCCATTGTATGCAACCATGGCCTTCCCAAGATGATATTGTATGGCGAGGGCGTATCAATCACCATGAATTCTGTCTTGATCTTCTTCTAACTGCTTTTGCATGATTCTATACTTAGAATATTTTGCATGTCTTTCATACTTTGCCTCCTTTGTGCGATCTTCTCGGGGTTACATACCTCGGGTATAATAGCTACAAAACTTTTGCTTCGGCAAGATACTGATCTGTAAACTTTTCATAAATTCTAACAAGTGTGAAACATATACTACTCAATGTTAACTTTGCAAACTTTTTCTCAAGTTTCAACAAGTGTTTAAACGGTGATCTCGGTCTAGCCTACTTGTAAATTGCTACAAATTTCAACAAGTGAAGGTAAGGAACTATCTCAGCTTAACTTCAACTTGTAAATTGCTACAAATTTCAACAAGTGAAGATAAGGAACCATCTCGGCTTAATTTTGGTTAAGCATCATCTCGGCTTAACTTCGGTTAAGCATCGTCTCGGTTTCACTTCGATTAAACATCATCTGGGCTTAACTTCGGTTAAGCATCATTTCGGTTTAACTTCGGTTAAGCATCATCTCGGCTTAACTTCGGTTAAGCATTGTCTCGGTTTAACTTCGGTTAAACATCATCTGGGCTTAACTTCGGTTAAGCATTATTTCGGCTTAACTTCGGTTAAGTATCATCTTGGCTTAACTTCGGTTAAGCATCATATTGGTTTAACCAACTTGTAAATTGCTACAAATTTCAACAAGTGATAAACGCATTCTTCTTCTCTCTGCCCCCCAGTGTGAATTTAAAATCCACTTGGGTTCTCATCATACATGTAGCTTCGACCTTGTCGCCGAGGTTTAATTCAAGCCGAGGTTGTCGGCCTTGGTTTCTCTATTGATCTTACTTGGCTCCAACCTGAGTTTGATTTTCGGCCTCGCATCGGCGAGCCGTTTCTCTTTTCTTGTTCCGACGCCTTTGTTCCCGGCATGTCCTCCTCGGCCATAGCATACTTCTCAATTCTGGCCAACTTTAGTCTGATCTTGTGTGTTTCCTTTTTATCTTCTGGGATTTGAGATCTACTCATTGTGCTCTTCTCTTCTCGGACTCAGGTGCCGAGATCTTATCTTCTGGAATCTTGGATCTGCTCATCATGTTGAGCTCTTCTTTTCTCGGACCTACTCATCTAGGCCGAGATCATGTCTTCTGGGATCTGGGATCTGGGATTTGCTCACTCAGGTTGAGCTCTTCTATACTTGAATGTTATCTCCTTGGGAGCGCTCATGCCCACTGTCTTTGCATCCCTTCTGGAAGGGTCTTCGTTCCTCCGCAGGTATCTATCCTTCCATACCTGGAGGTCGTCTTCGTTGCTTCGATCTATTGTCTTTGGTGCGTCACCTTCCTGGCCGGCTTCTTTCACTCCGTGACTCTGGTCACGAGTTTCTGTGTTGCGATCGTCCCCTTCAATGTCGAGATCGATAGGTCTCCCACTCCCAGCAGGAGCATTGTCTCTAATTTGATCCTTCTGTCCATCATTGGCCATCTATTCTTCTTTCTTTCCCACAGACGACGCCAAATTGTGTGGGTGATTTTTTCTCAAGTTTCAACAAGTGTTTAAACGGTGATCTCGGTCTAGCTTACTTGTAACCAGCTGGAGAGCACTGGCAGAATAGATGGCACCTGACTGACCTGTAACAGAAATATAAGAATCCCGCGATGGTTTCGACCACCTAGGGGCACTCCGACGATCAAGTCAGTATATCTCTCAAAGATAAATCAAGTACTAAACTCACAAGCTTGAGTATCCAAAGCATACCTTAGACCCATGGGGGTGCCTCTCTTTTATAGCTAATACAATCCTAGTCCCAATAGGAGCCTGGCCCTAATGGACTTAGGATTACTGCTAATCTGGGACTCCCAGTGGGATTAGGATAAACTCTCTAAGAGTCTTATCTTTACCCAAACTGAAGTCTTCTCCCAATCTAGGACTCTTGTCCATATCCAAGTTGAGTTCCCTCTTCATTCTAGGACTCTTGTCCCTTATCCGCTTATCTCGGATTCCGATATCTTCAGAGGCAACCTCGGCCTAGCCGAGATGACCTCGGCACAACGACCAAGACACGTGGCACCTCGGCTGACACGTCGGCGTCACCTTGCCACGTGTTGGTACTCAGAAAATATATCCCCACATTGTGTATCAAAGTTTGTTGGTCTCAACAATTCTATGAAGATAAAAATCGGTTACAGAGCCGCACGTAACATATATCCATTTATATATATTTTGTATTTAATTTTTGTATTCGTGACATTCAATACAAGAGGTCACTCCCCAATCACGAAACAGACAAACCACCCCTTGTGGTAGTTATTATCTGTTTGACAGCCTTTATTGGGTGGTGATTGAAGGACCAACATGACTGGCAGGCCGTTAAGTTTGGTATTAAATGTCAAAAGAACAATTGAGTTTTCAAATTGTTTTTCTTGTTTTCATTGCCAGTTACATTGATAAGAAACACAGTATTCTTTTTATAGATCAAAACTACTGTTTTCATTTCTGGGACTCCTGGGACTCTTCTTTTTGTCATTCCTTGAAAGAGAAAACAAAGGAAGTTTCAAATAAATCTGGAATTGGAAAGCTTCAATGTCGATAGTACCGATGAACAGACCTGTTGGTTTCTTCAAGATTTCAAGCTATGGGATGAGAAATTGTCACAAACTTCACACTTGTACCTCCTTGACAGCGTGAGTTCAATTTTAGCACGTTCCTTGAATCAAATTATACTCATAAGCATCAACAAAATTTGAAACATTCCTTTCTGAAACTGTTTGATTTTCTTTTCTTTTCTTTCTCTGACCAAATCTGAATGTGGGTAGAGTTTTCTGTGGTTGTTTATGAGGTCATAGAATCCAAAATCGGTGCATGAGTTGAACTTTTTCTTTTTAATTTTCTCAACCAACAGGGCATTGAATTCTAGATCTACACAATCAGAGACAAACAAGAAAGAAGAATTCTCAGTAGAAAATCAGAAACTCTCCATTCCACAATCTAAAACAAGTCCTTTGAATCTCCATTTCAACCGGCTGCAGCCATTCGATCAAGAAATTATTCAGGAGGATAGAATTGAGTTTGGACAGTTCGTGGCACGTGAGGCCTTACTATACGAAGAATTTTGGGTCAGTATCTTATTATTCTATATATAACCTAAAATTCAAAGCATGAACTTCTTATAATATGGTTGCTTTTTATGTAACCCCGTGCCAGTTTGAGGTGGTAGTTGTGTTTTTGTTTTTTTGGTAGACAGTAGCATGGCTGCGAGCAGAAAGTCATTGGGAGGATAAGACAAATGAACGGTATGAATTAAATATCAAAATCAAAACCTCTGAAGCACATAGTTAAATTTCTCGAAACAAATCTACATGTGGAAGATTGAACTTGCCATTGTTATATGAAAACAGATAAATGAGGAAATTAATAGAACAAAGAGACCGGTTGGAATGTTTGTTTCAATCTTGTTTGTTAACTCGTGGCGATAATATGCCATTCCACTGGCTTCTAGCTCTACTTAAGAATACATATATGTTGATAACTACAAAAGGAAATTTGCAGAGCAGGTAGGGCTAAACTGGCATAATCTGTTTATCAATATAAAAAATAAAAAAAAAACACGACTGGAATATATATTGTGCATAAAAATCTTTACCCCATTTTCTGTGTAGGAGTTTACGGCATTGAAAAGGTGATGCAAAAAGCAACAGAAGCATAAATGTACCTGCGTTGTGACGGTATGATTTTCTTTTCACAAATTATCTTTCGGGCACCAATTTTTATCTTCTATCTTTTTATAGTTTCTTTGGGTTAGGATTAACATCAAGTTTAATCATTTTTGAAAGAGTTCATTGATCTCTTGGTTGGGCTAATGATAAATTTTATGTTTATTATCAAAGAAGCTCCTCATACAGGGTCATTCAAATTAATAGGTAAAGAAGGAAGACAAGAATGTGAAATGTACCATACTGAAGAGTGTAGTTGGAACCCTAGATTTGAGCATCCGATACTTGTTGCCTGGAGAGACCTTTCCCGGGGTAAACTCTCATCTAATTAATGAATCTGCATCCAATACTCAATGCTTCTGTTGCCTCAACTTCGAACTTTGTCCTCTCACAGGAAATGGTGAAAGCCCCTCTCTTTTGCAGCATTGACAGAACAGGCCAAAACAGATACTCTTACATTGCAAACCTCTGTGTTTCCAAATCTGCTCGCCGCCAGGGTATTGCAATGAACATGTTGTATTTTGCTGTTAAGTTAGCTAAATCCAATGGTAAGACGATAACCTGCGTCGGTTCTTTGGATTTTGAACAAAAGCAAACATGATTTACTTTAAACCATGGCAGGTGCACAGCAGGTATTTGTGCATGTGCATAGAAAAAACCGACCTGCACAAGAACTTTACCAAAAGATGGGCTTTGAGGTATTCCGATGGTAGTTACAAGCTGTTTTTCTGGCTTCTGTTTTTAACCATGAAGAGCTTATGCCACTTTTACATTCTCTGTGATCAGGTGGTCGAAATGGCAACCCCTCAATTATCGAAAGAGCAAACTTACTTGCTTTGCTTTGAATTATAAAACCTTATTTGGCAGAAGTTTGTCTCCATTGATTGTATGAAAAAGGAATACATTGTCCTAGTGGACCACAACAGCTCACCCCAAATTAGGGATGATGAAAATAAAATTTACCACTGCATAAAGTTGTCTTCAAATTCAGCAAATGAATCATTCAGCTTACAGGAAATTCTTACACTCAAAAAAATTAACTAATACGGTGTTGGGGGAAATGCTCAAGTAAAGCAGATACTAAAGATACAAAATAGAGTTCCTAAAAAAAATAACTTTTCTGTTAGTATTTAGTATTTATGGCAGGTCTTCTTGTTCGTGATGCAAATAACTAATTGCAAGGCAATTTATGCGTAACAAGTGACCTGATCATCAACATAACCATTAAGAATTGCAACAGCTTTATTTCTTCAAATTTCTGGAAGATGGCTCAGGGATTAAAAAAACAGGGGAACTAAATACAGGTGGGAGAAGGGGAAAAAAATTACCTGCACATGGGGTGCAAGTGTGTCAGTGGTGGGTTGCAGATGAAAGGCTTGCACCTCCCATGTGTTGGTTATTTTTTTCCCTTTCTCCCACTTGCTTGTAGTTTGCACCCTGATGTGTTGGTTATTTTTTTCCCTTTCTCCCACCTGCCTGTAGTTCCCTCTTAAAAAAAAACAACTCTGGATGTGAAAGAAACCATGATACTTGAAATGAAAAGAAAACCACCAGGGAACTTTCATTTTTTACATGTCTCACTGAAAAGAAATCTGTCACCCTCTAAAAAAAATGAAAAGAAAGCTGTATTAGCTTTAGAGATTATCTCAGGTAGTTTATTGACTTCAACAACATTCTGTGAGGATAGATATCATATCACTTTTACATCAATAGGATATTTGGTAACGACAGAGAAAACATTATTCCAACTGAAAATTTCCAATGTTGTGCCGTAACAAAGGCACAAAACTTAAATATATGACTAACAAATAAATAAATAAATCTTCAGTTTTCGACAACCCAACGGGCTATTACTACTTAAGGATATTGCCACCAGCCATGCAAATTTTGTCCCTCAAAATTAATCCTTTGGACTCCCAACTTTACCATTAGGATAGTGTTCATAGGTTAATCAATCCACTCAGCTAGCTCAATCTTTCGGAGGTACATTTTGCCAAATGCCAATCATTGCTTACAAGAAACTAGTATCCATATTGCATCCTACATTATACATGTTGGCCACGGTACTTGAGATGAATGTTATCTACTTGAATAAAACACTTTAGAAAGGCCGTGATTTTGAACCTGATAAAAATGTATGAAACCTCTGGTTTACCTCCACCAAACTATGGCCTGGAATCTTTTTCAACTCTCTTTCTTCCATCAACTTCCTCAATCTTGCTACGTCTTCCCACCTACCAGCCTCAGCATAGATATTTGTCATAAGGACATAAAAACTAACAGTTTGAGGCTCCAACTGACACAACCGGTCAGCAACAAGCTCTGCTAGCTCAAGATTACCATGGATTCTACAAGCACCAAGCAAAGCTCCCCAAACACCAATATCTGGTCCACTTGGCATGTTCTGGATAAACTCATAAGCCTCCACCAATTGGCCAGCTCTACCTAGAAGATCCACCGTACAAGCACAGTGCTATACAGCAGGCCTGATTGAGTAATCTTTTGTCATGCTCTCAAAATGCTTCTTCCCTTCTTCTATTAAACCTGAATGCCTACAAGCTGTTAAAACAGATATGAAGGTGAAGCTATTTGGCCTAATTCCTTCCTCTTTCATCTTTGTGAAGAGTGTCAGAGCATTGTCCCCATGCCCATGAGATGCACAGGCCCCTATAATTGAAGTCCAGGACACAACACTTTTATGAGGCAACTTGTCGAAAGCATCCCTTGCCAAAGCTACGTTTCCACATTTCGCATACATGTCAATTAAAGCATTAGTAATCGAAACATTAGTTTCAAGACCTTTGTTCCTCACAAGCTTATGTATCCATTTCCCAGTATTTAGTGCTCCCAAATTAGCACAAGCTGATATAACACTAACCATTGTGATATAATCAAATTCTACCTTTTCAATTAGCATTCTACGGAAGAGCTTAATTGCATACCGATCAGCATTAGTCTGTTCATAAGCAGCAATCATGGCATTCCACGAGACCAGGCTTCGGACTGGCATCTGATCAAACAAAGATCTGGCAGTATCAACAATTCCACACTTACCATAGAGAGCGAATAAAGTGTTAATCAGTGAAATATCAGAGTCCACCCCCAATTTAACAGCACAACCATGAACCAATTTCCCCAAGTTCAAAAACTCCAAACCAGCACAGGCGGGAAGAATACTCACGAGTGTAATTGCATGCGGTTGAGTCCCCAGAACTACCATCTCACGAAAAATGCCCAACCCTTTTTTCGAAAAATCCATTTTGCACATATCCCGCAATCAATGCAGTCCAAGAAACTATGTTCCTCACAACCATCTCACCAAAAACTAGTTCCGAATTGAAAATCTCCCAACTCTGCGAGTACATTGTAATTAATGAACTCTGTATAAATACATCCAAATCAAATCCATTCTTAATTATGTTACAATGCACTTCTCTCCCTTCCATCAAAGCTGAGAGGACAGCACAAGATCGAACCACGGAAGGAAAAGTATAGCTGTCAGGTAATAATCCAATCCGATGCATGTCTCTATAGAGAACTATGGCTTCTTGACAAGGACCCAGATCGGCATAACCTCGAATCATGGTGTTCCAGAGAAATAAATCCCTTTCAGGCATTAAATCAAACAGTTTGCGAGCATAGTCCATTGTTGGGGCCACGGAACGAGCCAAGGTGACGAGTTTGGTGGATAAGAGGAGGTTTTTGTGGGACCCATTTGTGACGATGAGAGCATGGATTCGTTTGAGGTCTGAAAGAGAGGAACAAGAATTCAAAAGGTAGTTTAAACGGAGGGAGTGGTAGTTCGTATGGAAATGAGATGGGGCATACAAAATGGGCTCGAGTTTTTTAAGAACTGTGAGGAAGGAGGTGGCTAACATCAACTTCACATCCCTTTGATAACAGAGCAATTGTGTTTTTGGGAAATGTTCTCTCCCCTATTGGCAGTATGGCTTGAGTCATCAGCATTAGCTCACAAAAGACCCACTTTAGTTGAGGATCTATCTACAACCAAAAGAACCCTACCAAATGAAAATAAGAATAATGGCAGAGACTCACAAATTTATTTGACGCATAAATTTATTTATAATGATGTGATAAGAAAATTGAGTTATTAATTATTAGATGTGTGACAAATTAAAAATTAACATATATCTTGATATATTATTTGTGAATAGGATTGTGGGAGTTTTTTTTTTAGAGTTATATACATTTAAAAAATAATAATAATAATAATAAAATAAAAGTGCCAAGTTTCATAATCATTTCTCTCTCATCTACAATCAACTTTAGGGTAAATTAGATTGAACTCTCTTCGGGATTTATAGAAAATATAGTGAATTTCATAATTTTGACATAATTATATTAAGTTTCTTTGAAATTCTAATTAATATAACACTTAATTTTATTTTTATCAATCAATTGTTAGTTATATAAATAAAAAAAAAATGATATTGTCATATCTTTTACATGGAAATATTTACTTTATGTTGTATAATTTAGAGTTTCTCTAGCAACCTCGTTTCTTCCACTTTTTAGCCATAGAAGCTAGCTTGGAAGCAGAAAACACTCTTCCAGTAGACTCGTTCAAGCCTCGTTGGAATGGTTGAGAGCTACAATACCTCGTCAGTACAAATGAGTCACTATTCATGCGCCTTTCAATTTTTTTTATTAATTTTCCCTTCCCTTATTTATCATTTTGGCGCTAAAGTGTTCCCTTCCTCATTTTGGTGCTAAATTTTCTCCTACATTAAATCTGAAGTGCACAAAAACATTTCAACAGAGCAGTTTATACAAGGTGGTCATCTTGAGGGATGTCCCGAGGGATGACCACAAGAGTTCGAAGTGCACAAAAACATTTCAGCAGAATAGTTTACACAACGTAGTTTACACAAGGTAGTCATTTTGGGAGATGTTGGGGGATGACTACAATAGTTTAAAGTGGTCATCCTGGGGGATGTTCTGGCAGATGACCGGAAGGATAGACTAGTTGTCCTGGGGATGTCTTGGCGGATGAACGGAAGAATGTCCAAAATAAGAACATTTTAAAAGAATATAGTTAAAATAGAGAGTTTGTTGGAGTGTATACTTAAAAAGTGGCTAACTAAAGTAGTAAAGTAAAATTTTGGAAAGTTATTTTAGCTATGCTTACTGGAGATGCTCTAATACTACTTTGCTTCTTAATCTAATAATTGTCGTAGTCAATCTCAAGCTTGAGTTCAAGTCTTATAATTTTTTTTTTTTTTTTTGATCAAAGAAATACCAATTACATAGAATTAAAAGAAAGAAACCCAAAAAGAGCCGAAGGAGTTCAAGTCTAATAATTTCTATTCACCCCCCAAAAAAAAGTCTTATCAATCCTGTTTTTAATTTGATTTGAGTATAATTAGATTTGGAATTATTTACGGTCTTTTGTACTAGAGATTATCCTGGTTAAAATTTAAGTAAATTATGATGCAGGCTAATAATTAGATTTGGGTAAAGAATAAGAAAGATTAGACTTGTTTGAGTGTAGTTAATATGCTTAACTATGTAACTTAATTTGGCCGTGTGGTATCATGAGCGGTGGACATTTCAAACTCATGTTGGCATCAGATTTTCAGACCAAATAATGAGATAAATTAGATTTGGATTCGGATAATCTCTAATTGAATTTATCATAATTGGATTGGGTTAGAAATCAATTTTTTTTATAATTGGATCAAAGCGTGATACCAATCCAGTCTATGTTGGAAAACAATGGCTAAAAACAGATTGGAAACCAAAAAGTTATTAAAAAAATAGAATTTAGAACTATACAAATTTAACCAAAAAAAAGAAGAAGAAAGTAAACTTACAAAACGTAAATTGCAGATACAAAATCTGATCAAAATTAGTGTTGGACACTATCTTTTTAATACGACATTCGTCCCTCGCTACAATGATCAATGGAAACATTTCGAGTGTTTGCCTGGTGAACCAAACAAATGACACTCTTAGGACATATTTATATGGACAGACTGGATAAGGAGAGATTATAATTCAATAGACTGTTAATCATGGGATATATAATCCCTAGACTATTAGGTTGGAAATGATGTATATCTCATATTTATTTAGTCGTGGGATTAGAAGTTAAAAAATGACTAGTTTTAAAATTATTTTTTATTTTTTATTTTTTTCACAAAGCAATTTTTTTTTTATTTTTTGAAAAAAAGTTAAAAATTAGTTTCTAAAAACTAAACCAAACATGTCCTAAATATTTGGAGGGTAAAACTGTCTTTTTCCTTGTTAATCTAGACGAAGACTTGTCCAGGGATTATGTATCCCATCTCTCCCACCGGGACATGATAGTCTCACATATGGGGGACTAACAATCCAATTGGACTATTAGTCCAACCTACAATTTTTCAACCAAATAATGGATTACTCGATATGGTGTACATGGAATTCAATACTTTTTCTAATCTTTCCAAACAAACACTCCCTTAGACTCTTAGAATGAATGATACAAAAAAAAAGAAAATTGAATGAATGTATATGCTGGAAAAGGGATGATTTTATAGACTTTCTAATAACTATTCAAAACAATCACGAAGCTAAATTATATATATTCATGCGAAAAAACATACGAGTTTTGATTTTTTTAAAGTAACTAATTAATAATTTTATCCAATATATAAATATATATACAGACTACTCACACCTAATTGTATCCAACTTGGATACGGAAGTGCAAGCATGCATTCTAGCCCATTTAGTTAGATCCTCCCCATCCACAAAATTTGAGTGCCCCTAAGGGCCTAACTCCCAGTCAAAAGTTAGACTAAGGCCCGTTTGGCAATTTTATTTTTTGGATAAAGTAGCGAAAAAGCCACTGAAAAAAAAAGAGTCAATTATCTCAGTAATTCACTGTTTTCAATACAACTAAAGAAAGCCATTTCTAAACACAACCACCTTTTTCCACCTCATTAAAAAGCTAAAAAGTCACTAAAACAGTCAATTCCCAAACGAGGCCTAAACAAAGCCAACAAACTTTTCATTCACAAAATTTGAATGCCCAAGTTGAAGGTTAGACCAAATAAAATCAACAAATTTTTATAAAAAATATAGGTTGGACAAAGTTAATCAAGTTAGCTACCATTTTTCAATCAATGTTCAAACAGTGGATTTGGAATTAATATCTTATTCATTTCTGAATGATTTTGAGCAAATTAAAGTTCGATATGCAACACTTTAATTTTTGTTCAAAATTGACCAAAAAAATTATTTTTGCATAACCATAATCTAACAGTCTTGTTGACTACAAACAAACTAATGTTTGGGTATATTCTACCTACTAATCAACCACTAAATTCTGATCTAATTGACCCCTTATGTTGTGTTTGGTTGAGAGATTTGGGGAGGGATTTGGAAAGAGAAATGGAAAAGGTAGGTGAAATGTGAATAAAACATACTTATATTTCACATAGTTTCACACACCTTTTTCTTTTCTCTTTCCAAATCCCTCCCCAAATCCCCCAACCAAACACAGCATTAATAAAATGGCGTAGTCTTTCTTTATTTCAGAAAAGGAGTTAGAGCACATGGTAGATTTAGCATCAAACTACAACTCACATACAACTCATATAGTTTTGTCTTGTAGGCAGTAGAATGCTCTCATTCACATTTTTTAGTCATAAGTTCATATCATGTTTGGTGGTTTCAGAATTATTTATTTATTTGATGGAGTCATGTAAAATTTAAAATTTTTATTGTCAATTTATAAATAAAAAGACATCTTAATAAAATATAATAGAAAAAAAAGAAAGAAAGACACAAATATATGTTATTTTTTAATCGTCCTCGGAAAAGTTTTATGTAATGAATATTATCAACTACGTTCTTGGTTGAACCAACAAAAACAATAGAAAAACTTATAAAAAAAATTATTTATTTATACTAAAACAAGAGGCCAACAAAAATCAAATGGACATATACTACTATCACAAAAAATCAATTAAAAGTTTTAATCGCATGTTCTAATACATTAAAATTCTAACAAATTCAACTAAATCAACGTATTGCACATGTATATCACAAATTTAACTTCCAATCAAATTGAAACCAAAAAAAAAAAGAAGGCAAATATAAAATTATTCAAGTGATGCAATTGCGATGACAATTCAAGAGAGTCGAAGACTCCATTGTCTTTTCTCTTTTAGTACGTGGAATTTTATTTTATTTTTTCTTTCTTATTCTTCGAGAACCACTAGTGTTAACGTATTAAATAATGAGTGCAAATTTTGTAAGTGTTAACAGGTAAATTAATGGGGAGATTACACTAACCTGCTCTAAAATAATAAAAAATAATTAAATTCATATTTTTTATATAATTATATTGATATTTTTTGAGGTTTTAATTTATATAACAATTAGATTCCTTTTTATATACAATTCATTAGGCGTATGAATAAAAAAAAAAAAATGTTGTTATCTCCATTCAACTAAAATGTGTTTTTATCTTTACTTATTTCAATATTTATTCACTATGTGCATTAGTTCAGTCTCTAACCTTACTAAAAGAAATATTAATATAATTATATATGAGACTGATTATATATTTTTTGAAATTTTATGAAGGTAAGTATAGTTTATCCAAAATAAATTTTAAAAAATTGATGAGTGAATTGACACAGTAAGAGTGTAAAAATGGCCCACGGCCCATGGGCAGCCGAGGTGGGCTTGGCCCAATTAGGCCCGGCTTGAGCCTAGTCCGGGACCCTAGGCATGGGCCTGGACCTGGACCTAGGCCATCATTTTGAAACCCAACCCATCGGTCTGCTCAAGGCCCATTCAATGCTTGGCCCACCTAAGACACAATGTCATTTTTTATGGAAAAAAATAAAATTTTGATGAAAAAAATAGAGGAAAAAAAAAAAGTTCAAGCTTTGCCCAAGCCCAGCTCAAGCCCAAGCCCAGGCCCACCAACCTAGCCTAGCCTCCCTAAGGCCTGAATACCCCCTGGGCCTGGGCCTAATTTTTTGGCCCGTGGGCTAGTCTGACCAGAATCTTCACGGGAGCCCGCAACACTTGACATGGGCCAACCCAAGCCGGGGTCTAGGTGGGTCGGGTTGAGCCAAATTTACTCCCCTAAACACTAGTGTCTTATATGTGACGCAGCCATATATATTGGTTGAAGTCTTATTAACCGTTTATCTTTAAAGGGTAGGTTTCTCTCCAGTCCGAAATTGAATTGGAATGTTTTGTTGGGTTTGTGGAGATTCATCACAAATTCTGTTTCGATAATTCAAACCGTCCAATATGTAGAACTTGCTGAGTATTTCATTCCTATGAAAGCTCACTTTGATCGGATATTGATAGCTATTTGATCAAATTATATTTCTATTAACAGAAAATATAATTTTCAAAATAAATTGTTGACAGAAATCTAATACAATCAAGTAGCTATTGGTATCTGATTAATAAGATTTTTTTGTAAGAATGAAATACTCCACGAGCTTTACATATTGAATGATATGGATTATTGAAACAAGATCCGTGATGGATTCCATGAACCTGAACAATATGATCCAATTCACATATAGACTGAAGAGAATGTGAGTCCTTTATTAAAATGTTCCAGCCTTACTTTGATAATTAATGCAGAAGGAAGTCTTTATTAGTGTTTAATAAAACAGTGGTGCTACATGTACCAATTAGTATATTAACTGTTGTATTAATACTAATTATGATATTATTATTGACTCTACTCATTAATCACATTATAATATCAAAAACCTCTTAAATTATGTCACATCATCAATTGATACATTACTTTGTATACTAATCGATACATATAACATTATTCTTAATAAAATGTTTCAGTGTTTCTTTAATAATTAATTTAAAAGGGATCAAGAGCAGGCATATTAGGTAATTTAATAAAGAGAAAATTACTACTCCGGAGAAATTTTTAAAATTAGTTATGCGTTAATAAAAAAAATTATAATTTTTTAATTATTAATATTTATAATATTTATAATTTTTTAATTCCAACTTATGTGTAATTCTCCCTTTAATAAAATAGCGTTCAAAATTAAGGGTTGGTTTGTGATGTTCTAAAAAAGTGTACTTTTTGACTTATTGGCTTATATGGGTTGGGTTTGGATTGGGTTTGATGTGATGTGTTAGAGAGGTGATGTGATTTAAATAAGATGATGTGACTTAAATAGGATAGTGACTTTTTGACTTTTTGTATTATTTAGGTTATGCCAAACTTAGCCTAAGTTTGTACTCAATCATATAACGTGACATATTTTGCGGAAGGTATTAAATTATATATAATATTTAAAAGAGACCCAAAAAAAAAATTATAATAATAATTGTAACCCCTCCATTACTCAGCTACTTTATGCGTAAAGAGTAGGTAAATAACACTAACCTCTATGAAATTTTGTATAATTGCAAAAAATTCTCCGCTAATTTCAATAATTATGGTGACATTTCTTGCCCTTTATTGCCCCTTTCTAGCATTGCAAAGATTAAACATTAAATTACACTGACCTCTACCAAAGATTTTACATAGCTAAGAGATCTAACCTATCTATTATTCCTATGGACACAACACAGTATCTCAACGTTATCATCTTCTTTCTCAAAACGCAGGAAATTCGTTGTTCTCTCTTTTTTTCTCTACACTTACCATCTCTTTACTGTTTCTTCTCATTCTTCTCTGTTTTCTCCTATTTTCTTCTCAATCCTTTTCTTCATTTTTCTTTTGGATAAATTACGCTTTACCCCTTATGTTTAACTACTTTCTCACTTTGGTTTTTAAAGTTTGTTTTTTCTGAGTTTGGCCTTTTATATTTCAAATTTCTTCCAATTTACTCCTACAACTAATTTCTATTAAAAATTTGACAAAAAATGTTATATTTACTGTCACGAGGTATAAAATTATTTTATTATATATGACTCACATATCTGACATAAATTTAAATCCCAATATAACAATATATTTTTTATATTATGCAACAGTTATTATGGTATTTTCTGTCACTACAAAAAATTTGACTTTTTGCGACAGCAAAATGCCATCGCAAATACTCATAATGCCGTCTCAAATACTTTTTTGCGACGACAACTGACTTTTAGCAACGGCAAATGAGGGGTCACAACAAAGGGCGTTGCTAAAACCCTTTAGCGACGACACCATGCCGTCACCTTTTTTTTGCGACGGCAAAAGTTGCCTTTTGTGACGGAATTCTGGTGTCACCAATAATATGTAAAAACTTGAGATTTTTTGCGATGGCACTATTTTACCGTCGCTAAAAGTGTTATTTGAGACAACAAACAATGCCGTTGCTAAAGGGTTTTTATTGCGATGAGATACCAACCGTCGCTAAAGATTATTTGAAACAGAAAACATGCTGTCGCTAAAGATTATTTGAGACGGTAAAAAATGCCGTTGTAAAAGGTTTTTGATTTCAACAAAATACTTTTGGTTCTAATGTTTTTTGAGACGGCGTGGTGCTGTCGCCAAAAAAAACAAAAAACTGCAATATAATTATTAAAAATATGAAAATTACTTGTATTAAATGAAAAATAACTAAAAAAGAAACCAATAATTGCATAATAATACAAAAATTTCAATATAAAAATAACAATTCATCCATAATAAAAATATTCTTGCATTCATAACAAAACATCAGCAAAATTACCCCACTTAGGGGTGTTCGCAGATCGATTTTGTGTGGGTTGCGGTTCGATTTTGACCTGCCCACATGTATGCGGTTTGAGGAAATGTCAAACCGCAACCGCCCGTAGTGCGGTTTGTGCGGATAGAGTTTGCGGATGTGCTGGCGGTTGCAGGCGGTTTGCAGTTTGGATATTTTCCTTTAAAAATTAATTTTTAAGTTTTTTTCCCCATTTTATAAATATTTATTTTGGATAATTTTCTTTCAATTTTCTAAAATGCTTCAACATTAATAATTCATTAATTAAAATTCAGATTCAAAAAAAATTCAGATTCAATTTCATTCAGATCCAATTTAGATTATAAAAAAAAAAAAATCTGATTCAGATTTAGATTCAATTTAGATTATAAAAAAAAAATCAGATTCAATTTCAAAAAGAAATTCAAATTCAATTTCAATTCAGATTCAATAACACCCACCCAGAGTAAGTAATTAACAGAGTAACAGAATAGCATAATTCAATTTAAAAAATAACAAAATAGCAGCAGCAGAATAGCAAATTCAATTCAGATTCAAAAAAAAAATTCAGATACAATTTGAAGAAAAAAATTCATATTCAATTTAAATATAACATAATAGCAGCAGAATAGCAAATTTCAGATTGAATATCCACTTCTAAAATTCAATTAAAATTCAAACAGACAAACCCA